GAGGCTCTGTCTCAAAAAAAAAAAAAAAAAAAAAAGAACTAAAAGTAGATCTTCCATTTGCTCCTACAATCCCATTCGTAGGTATCTGCCAAAAGAAAAATGCCATTTACCATAAGGACATTTGCACTCCAATGCCCATAGAAACGCAATTCACAATCTCAAAGATTTGGGAACAACCCAAATGCCCTTCATCACATGAATGGAGTAGTAAAGTGTGGTATATGTACACTATGGAATATTATTCAGTCATACAAGAAATGAGGTTGTATATTTTCTGTTATAACCTGGGTGAATGTGGAGAATCCTCTTCTGAGTATCACAGGAGTGGAAAAGCATCATGTGTGCTCAATACTACATTGAAACTAGTAGATTAACAACTATGTGTTCATGTGAGAGAAAAACTCAACTGAATTCAAGCAGGTGGGGGGAGGGGCAGAGGGTTTAGCAAGTTCCCACCAATGCATGAGGATATGACCCACTTTCTGGGTAAAGGAAACAACCATAACTCAGACTTTACCTTGCACATACAGACAATGTAACTCATCGTGTGTACCCCCATATTAATCTGAAAAAACAAAACAAAACAGAGCTCACTGTAGAATCTCCCTGTGGCTCTCCTGGGATTGCCCCTTAAATCCTTTTTAAGGATTGCTGGTTCCCTCCCAAGAATGTGAGCGAGTTTTCATAAAAATGTGTCTGTGAGACCCCGTATATTAGATATTAGACATATTTCTGGAGTTAAACCCAAATCTCACTTCCTACAGATAAGTTTCTCCAATTGAGTGGTCACACCATATGATCCTCCCATAAAATGGAGGAGAGGACTCCTGACACACCAGTCTGAGGATAACACGTAAAATATAATTGGGGTTTTCATTTTGTTACTGTTTATAGTGAGTAGGTCCTATTCCCCCTAGTTAATTCCTCTTAAAAACTGAACTTAAAAACACTGAAATTCTTGTTTAGCTATGAGAGAAATTTTAAGTTGCCCTAAAGGAATATGGACCATTTGGGGGAGCCAGATACCCCAGAAAAGATGGCATTTAAAAGGAAAGCACGATGAAAGAGAAATGACCTTCAAAATCAACTTTGAGGATTTACTCAACACATAGAAAAGTGTTATCTGTAGAGGACATGTTTTGAGCAGATGGGGAAAGGGCTGTAGAATACTGAAAGCAAAACAAAAAGCACGTTTAGGGCACCAACCATGTTATCTCAAGAGCCTGCTTGCCCCAGGCCTCAGTCTGATAGACACCTCGCACCAAGGCCACCTCTCTGGTGGGACTGACCTGTGTCCCCAGCACACCCAGGTGAGACCTGAGCCAAGAAGAAATGATGGAAACTGTCACATCCTCCTCCTTACGGCCTTCATCTGGAAAATAAGCATGCAGGAGTTTTTGTGGGAAATATTCCTAATGGCCACTGGGTGAGTTTTGGATAGAACAAGTCTGGGCGAGCACAAGATTCGGACACCTGAGTCAGTCCTACTTTCTTGGGTATCAAAATCCAACCTAAAAAAAATCATTCTACTATATGCTAATTAGGCAGAGGCTCAGACCGCCTGTTTTTCTTTGGTTTTTTACTTGATAATTTTAATTGTAATTAATAGAATTTATGGGCAAATAATTAGGCTGCTTTCTTCATCTCCCACTTCTCTCCAGTCTCCTAACCCTGCTATTTGAAATGGGGATTCTAGGCTGGCCAGCAAGAAATAAAACTGACCTTCTGGACAGCACAGTTCCCTGGTTCCTATGGAATCTAGCTTAGTTGTCTAGACTGAATCTCACTAAGAATAACTTCAAACTGCCTCAAAATACAGACAGCAGTGTCTTCTCAAGGTATATGCCCAAGTGTTCCTGAAACAGCTAATCTCAATTTTTAGTAAAATTGTATCAGTAATAAAATTAGGAATTATTCCAGGTCTCAGTAGCAGAAACCGACCTTGGTCACACTGAACGTAATCTTCCTAACAACTTAGTAAATGCAGAATGTGCTCACCAAAGTAAACCTATTTCCAGAAAGAAAAGAAAATGTACGTAATATATCCCAAGGTAATTTTTAAAAACAGTAACATAAAAATCAAACATGATCATTTAATCATTTCCAAAGTATAACTGTTACTTATGGATTGGCTGGCATGTTTTGAGAAATTTGTCTGAAAATTTCAATTTTAAAAAACAACTTGAGCTGGGCACAGTGTCTCACCCCTTCTCAATCCTAGCATTCTGGGAGACCAAGGCAGGAGGATCTCTTGAGCTCAGGAGTTGGACACTAGCATAAGCTGGTGAAAAATAGAAAAATTTTTATGAAAAATAGAAAAATTAGCCAGGTATGGTGGCGGGCACCTGTAGTCCCTGCTACTTGGAAGGCTGAGTCAGGAGGATCACTTGAGCCCAAGAGTTTGAAGTTGCAGTGAGCTAGCCTGATACCACTACACTCTAGATGGGCCAAAGAGCAAGACTCTGTCTCTAAAAAAAAAAAAAGTTGAAACTGTCATTTCAAAAGTGCTTTATCTTCATGTCCTATTTATGTCCCACTTGGAATAAGAATATTTTTATTAAATTTCTATTTCACAGATGATGCCTGTGGCTCAAGGAGTAGGGTGCTGGCCCCATATACCAGAGGTGGTGGGTTCAAACCCGGCCCTGGCCAAAAACTGAAAAGAAAAAAAAAAAATTTAAATTAAAAAAAATAAATTTCTATTTCACCCAGCCCATCATATAAATGCTTGATAAGAAAATATTTTTAAAGAACCCTAGTATGTAAAATAATTCTTTCTTCCTATAAGTAAATACCCCTAAATATTTCTCCTTTTTAAGGAGAGTTCACCAACCAGGTCTTACTCAAGTAGTGTGCTCAGCAGCCCTGTAGAATCTCCCTGCAGCTGACATGCTGGCTGCGGGCAGCTATTCAACCTTTCATGAAAGAGCACACTGTGCACCTCCACAGCTCAAAGTGTCCCTATCCCCTCTGGGTGGCTAGTGTGGGGGTTGTGGCTGCTACCTGTGAGCCCCTGCAAGATGGAAACTCTTGAGTTCACAATGTCCCAGGGAGGCAATGCAGCTTTAACCCACACCCAACAAGAGAAACCGTTCCTGCAGACACACACAGGCTCTCTCTCCAGTGGACACACTGGGCCCCTTAAGACAACAGATTAAGGAAGAGATTTAAATCTCCCAGTCCTCCATGAACATGATCACAGACGCACAGCCCCAAAGAATCAGCAGGTGCTATGAATGAAAATCAAGAGGGATGAACTGCCTGAAGATGGCAGCAGGGGCTCATATCCCAGCTGGACCACAAAGCCCCTGGCCTTTGACAGAGTGGTGGTTAACAATATGTCAGCCCTCACAGGCCTGTGTGGGAGACATGGAGGACTAGTCAGTTGGTTATCATTGTGTTTCTCAGTCCTACAACCAAGTAACCCACAAGAAGAGCACACAGGGTGGCTCTGAGGGCGATGGGCTACACGAGAAAGCTCAGCCCACTCCCATGTGCATGTTGTTCCTCCCCTTTGCAACCTGCAGCCCTTCCAAGTCAGATTTCTCCCATTCATTCCCAAGCATGCCTGATGGTTTCCAAAGGGAAGAGGTAGAAGGGAGGGAGGAAAGGGACCAACCACATCAAGATCCTGAGGCCATCAGAGAAACTACGTTCCAGTGTGCCCTGGTGACAAGGACAAATGTGGTTTTCTCACCTTGACTCCTGGGAAGTAGAAGGGGGGAGGGACGGTCCATGACAGAGCCTACCACAACCAAATAAGGGGCAAATCACACGGTAGGAAGGTGACAATCCCAGGATCGTGCCATGCTGGTGTTCATGCTTCTTCAGCCTTCAACTTCCTCTGGGGGGCTAGTCACCGCAGGGCCGGGTGTCACTGAGCCTGTAGGTTCTGGGAGCCCTCTTTGTCCTCATTGTCCTCTGCCAGGCTGCACTCAGCCCCTGTGACTGAGGACTTGTACCCACGAAGTGTGTGGGCATTCAGCATCTCCAGCAGTAGGTCATACACCGGGACCACATTCTTGTACTTCATGCTCAGCAGATGTTCCATGCCCTTGTTACTATGGGGACAAAAAGGTGCTGAGATTCCTACTCTCAAGGCAGCCACAAATGCTGACCTCTTCCTCAGCTGTCCTGCACAGCCAGTCTGCCCAAACTTCCCTGAGCCCAACTCAAGGGTAAGGACAGTGTCCCCACCACCACCCACAATGACCTGGGCAGCCCCTAGCATAGTACAATTGATTCTCATCACTCACCATTCTTATGTTCTATAAAGTTACGTTAAACACTGAATTAGTGAATACTGAAGCACTGCCTCTAGGAGAAATACAGGGTTAGGTTCCTGTGAGCCTCTGCTCACAGCTGTTTCATTAGCTGTTTCATTAGCTGATCAACACATTGTCTCATGTGTTTTTATCTGAAGACATCTTGTTAAATATCTATTTGGTGATTCTTTAACATTGATCTTACAGCCCACAGAACTATAACTCATGCTTGAAAGAAGGTTATCTAACATGTATTTTCTTTGAAAGGTACATCACAGCTTTATTGCACCCAGGAACCCCAGACAACACTTCAGCACCACCCTTGGAGGCCATTTCAAATGGTGAAAATACCCACAAAAATGTACGACCATTCCATTAAATAGACTGTGTAAAGGACACTTTTATACAGATGGGGGCTGGAACAGGAAGGCAGAGCGTTTTCTCCTTCAGCCTGAGCTGGGAACATGCACAGAAAGGGACCCAAAATTTTTGCCACTCTGTGTATGACCTTGAAAGTGCCATTAAGTATTGATTTGGGAATTAGAAATAAATGTTAGCAAGTAGGTGAATTCATAAACGTGGAGTCTGCAAATAGGAGCGCCCGTATCTATTCTACAAACTGTCATGTGCAGAATTATCATCAAAAAGAAAGTAGAATCTGGGCACAGTGGCAGGTGCCCGTCATCCCAGCTACTCCAGAGGCTGAGGCAGGAGGATCGCTTGAGCCAAGAGTCTGAGGTTGCTGTGAGCTATGATGCCACGGCACTCTATCTATCAGGGGCAACAGAGTGAGACTCTGTCTCAAAAAACAAAACAACAAAAAAGGAAACAGATGTCTTTCTCATTTCCTCCCCCTCATCCTGGAGGTCTACGTTGTCCTTCCCCACAGCCTCAGACTCTCCTACTCCTCAGGTGAGCAGTTTCCATCCATCTTCATCTCCCTTCTTATAGCCCCAGGGTGAGCTGCCCTCCTCCTAGGTGACACCAAGCACCACTCTACCCAAGTAGCCATCACCGCCCCCTCACCCAGTGTCAGCACACTCCTAGTACACTCCCAGTCCTCTTAGATCTCAGCTTGAATATCCTACTGCCATTGAAAGGGAAGGCACACCTTGGGAAGGCTTTGTGCGGAGACTCAGATGGCCAGCTCAAGGAGAGATCTAGGAGAGCTGGATGTAGACTTTTGACAAGAATGACTGCAGGGTAAGAAGGGGTGGCAGTTCATTTTAGGGAAGGAACTGCCCCTTTTAGGGCTCAATAAACAAACTATAAGCCCCAGCAGCTGTAACACTGATGAGCCTCATCAGATGCCATGAGGCTCCTATAAGGTGCCCTGGAACATTTTGTTCAGTGCCCACCTGCGCCCAGATCTGTGAATGTGTGAACTGAGGAAGCCTTCCTTCAGGGGTTCATTCTCTGTAACTTGTAAATACTTTCCCCCCAGCTGTTCACTCTATCTGAAGGCTCTCCCTGCCCTCACCCTGCCCCGGGCAGAGGCTCTCTGCAGCTCTGTACCTGGTGTGCCTGACGTGTGACAAGAGCATTAGGAGATTAGCCAGGCGAGCTGACTGCTGCTGGGAGGAGAGGCCACTCCTGGCGATTACCCAGACCAGCGCGTCAGTCACCGCGTTCAGCAAGTGGATCACCTTCCTGCTGCTCTCAGCCTCCTGGGCCACCACAGCCAGAGGGGACATACCTGGACAAAGAACGAAAGCCAAAGTCATTGCTCTAAGAAAACTGAGGTCATGTCCTCGGCCATTAAATGTGCCTGTGTTCTCCGAGGTGGGCGGGGCTGCTCTGACATCAGTTTACCTGGGGTGAGATCTCTGCACAGGCTTAGCTCCCTGGGGGCTCGTCCCTGAGAGCCAACCCCATGGCTGAGGGGGAAGAGAAGCCTAGCTGAATGCAGGGTGGACTAAAGGACCTCTCCAAGTGACCACCAGGCCCAGAACTGTGTTCTTGCCATAGCAGTAAATATATGTGGTCACCCCAAACCATTACAGGGTGTTTCTAATCTGTAGCAGACACAGAGATGTGAAACGGAGATTAGAAACAGACACAGAGATGTCAGAGGTTAATTCTACTCAGCCCTGAGAACAACTCCTTGTCTAAGGGGGGTTTAAAAAATGTAAGGTAGTGGCTGATGCTATGAAGCTTCCCCTGCCACCCTCTCATGCCACCGATAGTAATGCTGGGCTACTTGCCACTCTGCCCTGGCATCTTGCTGGGCACGAAGACCACTGACTTAGGGTCAGACAGACCTACTTTTTTTTTTTTTTTGAGACAGTCTTACTATGTTCACCCTCAGTAGAATACCATGGCAGCACAACTCACAGCAACCTCAGATTCTTGGGCTTAAGAAATTCTCTTGCCTCAGCCTCCCCAAGTAGCTGGGACTACAGGCATCTGTCATAATACTCAGCTATATTTTTGTTGTAGTTGTCATTGTTGTTTTGCCAGGCCCAGGCCAGGTTCAAACCCACCAGCCCAAGTGTATGTGGCCAGTGCCCTAGCTGCTGAGCTATAGGCACTGAGCCAGACAGAACTACTTTTTATCAGCCATCTCTATCTCTCGTAGCCTCAGTTCTTCACTGAATAAGGCGTACAGGAACACATCTCCATAGGTCCCTACCATCCCCCTAACCAGGTAGGTGAGTTGCCCCCCGTCCCCGACCCTGTGTTTAATTCCCTTCTGACTTTAGGATCTGAGATACTGTAGTCTCCCAATGTTTGCAAAGTAATAGTCAAAGTGAATCTCATCCTGCCATTGCCAGCCTAGGTCCTTGAGAGAAGTACAATTAGCTCCTCTTCTGTGCTTTCAATTTCAAAGCAAGAATAAACAACAAATACGTGAAATCTTTTTCAAAAGAAGATAAACAAATGGCCAATAAACAAATGAAAAAATGCTCAATATCACTAATCATCAGAGAAATGCAATGACATATTATCTTACTATTAAATAGAATTACTATTTAATTCTTATAATTAAAATGGTCATAATGAACAAGTCAAAAATAATAGATGCTGGCACCAATGTAGTGAAAAGGGAACATTTATACATTGTCAGTGGGAATGTAAATTAGCACAATCCCTGTGGAGATCAGTGTGGAGATTTCTCTAAGAACTAAAAATAGACCTACCATGAGATCCTGCAATCCCATCACCAGGTATCTACCCAAAGGAAAAGATATCCTTATATCAAAACATGCCTGCCCTTGTATGTTTATCACAGCATAATTCACAATCACTAAGGTAGAGAATCAACCTAAGTGCCCATCAACTGATGAACAGATAAAGACAATGTTGGGGGAGAGAGACACACGCACATACGTATGTGTGTGTGTATATGTATATCTACATACGTACATATATACAC